TATTTTCTCGTTAATGTCAGTTCTCAACTAAATTTTCTCACCCACTTTTTCTCTGCCGACAAAAATACCGTAATACTTGCAAACAGAGTTATATTTAAAAATTCGGTGGGTACGTTTAGGTAAACGTTTAGTTGAATAATGAGTGAATAAATATGAATGAAGATAGAATATCTTTTGGTCAAAAGTTAAGACTTGTAACGTGTTAAACTGAAAGATTTTAAGAACATTTTCATTCATTATAATAATTAATAAAATTACTTAACTAATATTAAATATACAGAAAATGTTCCGTACAATCTAATTACCAATGATATGTATTTTCTACGTTAAACAAGATTTTCTTTAAATTATGGGACTAATTACCTGAGCTCCAATGCTATATCAATTCCAAAGTTTCCATAACTTTACAACGTCATTAACGACAGATTGTGAGTTTATGATCCAAATCTGGTAAGTTATTGATCATATAATAAAAGCATTCTGATTAACAATATATACATATATAGCTGTCTCAGCAATCGTGATACAATTGATAAGAGGGTAATTCTACGTAAAAAAAACAACGAAAATTAGAATATGACGTTCATATGACGTTTCCTTTTCGAGAAAATCTTACTTACTTACATACTTAAACTTAGCTTATCGAAAAATTATCAGAATTGTTATTTTTGGGATCGTTATTGTAATTTCATTACTAGAATACAATTATATTATTGATTAATTTTATTATCTAACGCTATAAAAATTATAATATATGAAATTTTGTACAAAATATATATTATTTCCCGCTGTAATATTTAATTTGTTCGAAAGAATAAAAAAACTGTAGAAAATGTATAAAGCATAGAGTACAAGGGAAATATTTAAGTTTAAATACCTTCCATAAATCTTCAAACGCAAGAAAAAGAACAAAAAGCTTAGAAGTTCTCGAAGGGTGAGGAGGTTCTGCTTGAGAACAATGTTTGTTGTCTCAGCTCATTAAAGTGATTTCAACGGAGCTATATATGTATTTTTTGTGCCTTGCAGGCTGCATGGAATTTCGAGGCGTGTTTTTAATCGGGCATGTTATTTGTGACCTTGAAATGTTCACATACAAGACAAGTTCTAATAAAAGGCTTTCATTATAAAACTACAACGGACGACAAATGTAAATTACGTGAACAATAATAACTCTGGATAAAGTAAATATGTAATGTGCAAGAGAATATTTTATTGCACATTCGAGTTAAATCCGTTAAAATCGTGACTCAAAAAAGAAGATAAATTCTCTAGATCTGTTCCTTTTTCGTCGTTCATTTATTCTGGTATGACCACACACGTGACAGAGTGACTGAAGGAGAACACGAAAAAAGAAAATGAAGTATCTGAAATATATCGTACATTGTTGTTTATGTATATCTGAACAGTCTGGTATATCTAATAAACGTATACATGTGTACACGAAGGTTACCGAATCTTTGAATTAATGGTAAATTAATGGCAATCAATTTTAATAATTACCGCATGTATAATAATATTTAAGATATAAAATTTATAGTAGATAGATAGATACATACATATTATTACATACTTAACAACTTGCCCGAACCTTTCTCATGAAACATTATGAAAGAGTTAACCCTACTGTATTCTTTCCGTCATTTTCGATAGTATTTTCCTAACGTTAAGATACATACATACATATATCTTAAGATTCAGCAAAACATGAACAAATTATTATCGGTATGCGCGATTTTATATCTCAATTATGTATTAAATATCTTTCTAAAACATTATATATATGAAAATTCGGTGATTGCAGCAGGGATAAACAAGTGACAGTATGTATAGTCGATTATACATGTGATTTGAGCAAAAAATCATGCGAAATAATTATAAAATATTCATAAAATTATGCTTTTGTTTAAAAAAAAATTGGATCCAAAAAGTCTCATCGATAGTCATGCGAATGTTAATACTAGAGGAAAAATACTGAATGGTAAGATACAGACATACATTTGCATTCAAAGGCGTGATATTATATTATGTCCTACTGAACTATATTTTTATATGAAACTGTTTTAAACTTCGTATGAGAATGACAATACGTAGAAGATAAGTACAACATGGTACAAAAGTAAGAAAATTTCAAAGGTAGTGCACCAATGCTTATTTCATCGAATAAACGTCCACGTCTCCCAATCATTACGAAAATAAAACGATAAGTTGGAAAAACGTAATAAATACTTACCAACTGTTGCAGAGTAGACCGTTTACGCAGCAACCGATTCACCGATTCTTCGATTCTCCTACATACTTGTAAATTTCACAGTACACTACACAATTAACTCCATTTGTAATTTAATATCCTTTAACACTTGTAAAACATCCACACTGTTTACTTTTACGAAAAAGCAATATCTATCTGGTGAAATTTATCGGCTGTCACTATACGGAAAATCGACGATTTGAAGCTTTTCTCGAGACACATACGCGAAAATTCTTAGCATTAATTACAACCACCATTGGGTAGTTTTGCGCAGTAAATAAAGTAATCTTAACGATGAAAGATTCGACAAATAAAAACTACCGACGCGACGTTCGATCGTCAAGCAACAAAAGTACCGGTTCTAACACACTCAGCAAGTTCGCCGCAGAAAAGCACGCAACGCGGAATCGTGTTTACCTTTACGATCACAGGTCGCGTCGTTATTGACAAGTTCTAATCATAGTCCGTTCGAATAGCAATTCGCTTCTTAGTATTATCGAGAAGACTGCGCATTAAAGTAAAAAAGAAAAGACATCGAACGTTTCGCGTTACAACCAATAAGTTTCCAACACCAGTCTCGTGCAAAATCTTCAACGATACTACGTTACATTTCGCACGTACGAGTTTCCTGCGACGATTCACGCGCGCAATGTCTCGGCACGACGTATTAATTGAGCACAATTGTAGGTTAAGAACAGTCCGTAACTTTTACACGATTGGTTATTTCGATGATGATGCGTGGTTTTAAAGAATCGCGGGCATTAATCATTAAGCTGGTGAACAGAGAACACGAAGCAGGCAACTTCAAGCACGTGCCACCGTACGCGTTGCGGTACAAAAACCATCTGAAGCGCAAGTCCCGTCAGCATCAGTCGTCCTACATACATGCTTCGCAATATACGCGCCATATTAAATGCAATGTAAAAACCGACATCTAGCGGCGGTGTTGAGAGTTATTATGAAATACATATTTCGTCTCTTGATAAGCGAGGTATCTGTCACAGTACTTATCATGGCACACGAAAGCATTTGAACATCTATCTCAGAGTACTTTCATGTATACATGTACATTAGATATATATCACATAAAATGCTTTGAAATTTCATTAATGTTGTAACGTGCTGTACAGCTGTCGCGAGTATATTGGTTTTGAAACCTATCTGAAGATGTATATATACATAATAGTATAACACATAAAATTTATAGGATATTTATTGCATGAACAACCGTTATAAACATATTATAGATGTTCAAAATGGTTACACTGAATATCGAGGCTTATTAATATAATGGATAATTGATTGCCTACATACTTTCCTGATCCCTAACCTCCCTATAGATCGCTATATGAATATATCCAAATGTGTTTCAAACTTTATCAATATAATTACGATAGTCGGGTCTCATCATAATGCTAATGAAATTTCAAAATGTTTCCAAACTTCGCATAACATATGTACATATATCGATAAAAAGCTTTTGTTTCTACAAATGTTCAAACACTTTCGTGACGTAAGCCACTGTAAACAAGATACAATACTGCTCATAATCATCCGGATACTTTGATCAGTTTGCATTGACGTATATTAGTAATATATTATTATTAATACATATGAACTAGTATTATAATTCCCAATGATTGAAGCACAATACTTGCGTTGGGACAATCAAAATGGACAGTATTAATAATAATGCTTCATATACAAAATTAACACGATTATATTATATGTTATTTAATTTATACTATTATATTTTGGTATACTATTATTAATAATATATATTACTAATAATTAATATTTATTATATATTATATATATATATTAATATAATATATATTATTCATAATTAAATAAGAAAATTAGTAATATATATGTATTACTAATAATAATAAATAATAAATAATTAATAATAAATAAATAATTAATAAATTTTGTAATTTATTAATCATGATTTAATCACGATATTCAATCATTTAGAAGAACCATTTCCACCTTGATAATTTGAAAACTAAACAATCTGAAGATTCAGAACTTTTTAAATAATGAAACTATTCCGGACCTTATAGAAGGAAATTTCATTATTACATATTAGGTTTTGAAAAGCAATGTTATTATGTCATAATGCCTTACGATATAGCAAAAAATCTGTAATAACAACAAATAATAGAATTATCATTGACTTCTTTTCATTTCTGACTTTGCGGTTGAATTATATTCTCTAAATAATCACGTACCCAAATATTTCTGAGCAATAGCGTATGTACGTGTACAGTATCTAAATATTGAGAAATTGTAATATACATTTACGTAGCATTATCTCATAGTTGTGATGTGATTATTATAGAAGAGGTATATAATATGTTCTTAATGTAGTCTAAATATTCCTTAAAAATATTTTCTATTTTTTAGAACTTTCATCTTTTTAATTAGGAACGTTATATACGTATATAAATATAGATATCTATACGTATATATGTATTTATTTTTAATAGACGTACTGATTTTTATTTAATTGATTATATATAATATGTCACAACATGTCGTGACGGTATAAAAAGTAATAAAAAAACATGTAATTTTGTTTTTCAGACACTATCAGTCAGACATCATTAGTCAGACATCATCATATACATATCTCAGTTATTTCGACATGTATGTATGGTCGTTATTACTTAAATGTTTATGTTGTTGGAACTAATAATCAGACACACGATTCCAAATCTAATTAAATATAAAATATATTTATACTTACTTTGCGAGGCTGTTTGAGACTGATGTTGAGCTGCAGTTCTCTGTAACAGCAACAAACATTTGTTTTAAACGGATTGATTATTGAAATACTATAGAAGTAACTAATATGTTTGAAGATCACAGAAAAGTTACATAAATACTCGATGAATTCCCGATGATTCTTGATTTTAATAACATTATGACTACAAAGAAATGTTTTAATATAGAATACATCGCTAAAAATAGGAAAAGCATGTTAATTTACTAGAAGTTGAAGATATAATTTGTAAAGCAAACATATATAAACATATAGCTAATATATTAATATATTTCTGTACTGAAACATTATAGCGTGTTAATTTATATTTTTAATTTTAGAAAAACTGAAAAAAATTTGATAAAATTTTACAAAACAAAATAAAAGAACTTGATAAATTGACAACGTGCTAAATTTTGAAATTGCTCCTCGGTACAAAATAGAAAATGTGATTTAAATGAATTGTTCCCGTACTGTTCGTTTGTACAAAGATCAATTTTAACATTATACAGCACGGACTGTCGCGTACCGCTATCGGAGCGACACCAGCATGAGAACATTGAAACATACATTTTAAATAAGACCGTTCACACTATCCATCCCCAATCGTTACGTTACATTATCGTTACGTGACGCTCCGCGCCGTATAGTGTAAATTACCTTTAAGAGATATATTGAATATTCATTGCAATGATGATTATTACAAAGCATTAAAATCATTGACATTTTATATCTTAAAAAATACATTATATAATAAAATAATAAATTTTAAGTACATTTTGGAGGATCAACCGTATCCCTGATGCTTCGAGACTCTTCGAATCTAAGGAACGACTTCTTGGTTTCCCTTCTAAGTAATCATCCTTTTTTCCACCTTTTATCCATCGAAAATACGACGACATATTGCACTTTCAACTTATTACGCACTAACACAGTATCACATATATAATCACATAATTTCAAATCTGACAATATGAAGTTTGTTCACTGTATTCTTATAGATGTAAAAGAAATCAGATAGATTAATTTTGTCAATTAATTTCTGAATTAAAATTATTATTTCAAACCTGCATTATAAAGAAACAAAGTTAAAATATAAAAAAGAGAAAATAAGGTATAGAAGGCGTAATAATAAGGCATACAAGTGATTTACCAAAAAACACAAAAAGGATGTAGAAAATACTGATATCTAACTGTCAAGTTTGATGAATTGATAATTCAACGGTGAACAATGATAACTGGTCGCCTGAACGGCATTGTTTATGGTAAAATTGTACTAGTAATGCTTTCTGTCAACCGGAAATAGAAGAACATTCCATCTATGAATAATTAAATGTGATAAAAATGACTACGTATTTTTCAAATCTTATTTAAATCTTCTCGTTAATAAAATCAGTTCATTATAGATAACGAAGTTACGAAAAGGCTTGTTCTTTACGATATCACAAAGAATGCCGTATACTGAATATGATAACAACTAAACGTTAAAATGCAATAGCTTTACATTTGCATCGTAAATTCTCAGGTGACACGTTTTTATCAAAACGCGTTTTATGAAAATATTTACACGTTCGAAACGTTCCATGCTGTGGATGAGAATTAACTATAACGTAGTATTATATTTATCCAAATTAGATTAAACTAAATTCAATGTATATACATATATATCATCGTAAAATCATATATAATATTTTATAGTAAACAGATATAGTAAGTATTTTATAATAGAAATTACTGAAAATTGAAGCTATTATAGATATATTATTACATTATGATCAAAATATATATGCAGCTACCATTAACATTGTGAATTTGTTGTTTTTAAATATTATTGTTATAAGTCTTGATATCACTTAATTGTTATAATACTACAAAATTGTAGTTCGTAAGATCGTTTAAAAATTCTGCTCTGAACTTTTGAACTTACTTTTTAGAAAATAGATAATCAAACGTTACAACACGCCCAATAGGATTAAAACACAACTGTCATTACGATACGTGAATTTCTCACTCTACTATTATCATAGTTGAATTTATTCGAATACATCTAAGGCTGATCAATTTTTGAAGTCGTACCTTAACGACTATGGTATTTTTCTGTTTTAAATAACAGTTTCTGTAATTATTTTTATTTTATACGTACAAAGTCGGTCGTTTATGATACGTGACAACTCGGTCTTATTGATCATAAATAATTTATTCTGCTGGGCAAATTTACATTTTCTGGAATCAAATTATTGATAATTTATACGTGAACCTGACTCCGATCTTTTATTCTATGCATATACATATATGCAAAACCAATATTAATTCTTTAACAATTGTAAGAATTAATGTTGTTTTTAATACTTTATGAACAAAATAACCCGCATTATTTTTTTACTTTATTAACGACACAATGCCGCCATAAAGATATAATACCTATTTTAACTCATTTAATATCGTAAACAGAAAACTGATAATATGAGAACCAATAAATATCTAATGCAGATACTATATAGTAACAAAGCGAGTATCAAATATGCAGAGTATATTCCATCTTTTCGTATGTGTCCGTATTATTGCTGTAGCATCTATTAATCTTCTAAAATTAGAAGAAATAGCCAAGCAAGTTATCGAGTAAAACAAATCTCAATATTTTTCATATGAAACTCTTTCTTATATCTAATCAATTATTTCCACAAGTTTCGCAATTATCGATATTTTTTGTATCTACATACTTCAATCTGGCTAACGATAAGTTCTCTATTTGTAACAATTATAAGTTTCCATACTTGATAGCAAAATAGCCTGTAATTAACTATTTCTTTTAACAAGTAAATAACGTTCCGACCACAAATTACCAATGTAAGAAACATAATAAAGTAAGAAAATCATAAAAACATCGACGATCACCCGATCGAATATTTTAACGTTATGCAAATGATCGCGCCGTCTCGTTTTAACGGAAGAATCGCCATCATTTACACAGGTTATCGCTTTTATAGGACATCTGAGGAGAAAAAAAAAAAGAAGATACGCACAGTACAATAGTTCACTTTAAATTTGAAGACTATCGATCTAGGTTATCGAGCAAAGAAGCTCCAAATATTTCCAGAAATTGGCCAAAAATATCCAATTTAGACGTGACAGATGTGACCTATCGTACTATATACTCCATATGTCAATGCAGTGTACATATTTCACAATGTACTACATATGTCTATTGTCTGGACATAAACGATTCGCAAAAATTCTAAAATCGCTAACAATCCTTAATTATAGACCACTTGCTTCTGAAATAAATTTGAACTTCTGTTTTATCGTTATAATTTAATGAGGGGTTTTAATTTGTTAATCGGAAAAGATAAGTTAATTAGTTATTCGAAATCTCTCCCTTCTTTATTTAGAGGTCACTTTTTACGTGGCATTCCATTTCTATTACAAATCAATGAAATAATAATATCCTTTGGAAGGATTAAAAATTAGAACTATCCTAATTGTAATTAATGTATTTTTATTCATTTTTAATTTCATAATTGTATGTAAAAGGTTTTGGTTAATGGGATGATTCACTCGACTGGTTAAAAAATTCAACGTTTAAATAATTCGCGCTTGCCATTGAATTAACCTTGACAAAAAAATTAATAATAAAACAGTAAAGCAATTTACGATTACATTAAACCAATGTTAATGACTCGGCGATTTATGAAATAAAACGACTAAACGTAATGTTTGTAAAATTACATGATACTGTGATAATGGTAAGATGTAATACTCTGTACTGTGTAACTTGATGGTTCAAGATAGCAAAAGAAAAATTATTTTCATAAGTTGTTGGAGCATTATATTTGAAGCGGAGATTGGCGAAAAAGTGAAGGAAGAGAGGATGAAGAAGAGTAGCATAAAACTGCTAGCTGTCGATTTAGAAGAACTAAACAATGCAATGGCGAGAAGCTTTGTCAATGAACTCGAGACATCCTTCACGACCGTAAGTTACCATTCAGCGTCTTTTATGTCACAGTTAAGAAGACTGTGACTATACGATATTTTTTGTTCTATAAGTTGAACGAATATATATACCTATATACGTTACTACTAGAAAGACTTGAATATTTTAATGATAACATAGAATTGTAATTTTGCAATAATAAACATAAAGATACAATTATAAATACGATCAAACTGCAATTTTCCTTAAAAGAATATTCCAGAATGTTTAAGGTTTAGAATATCAAAAGTCACTGTAGATCTGGAAATATTCTTCGATCTTAGGAAAAGAACTGTGGCGAGGAATCGCTGTTTAGAAGAAGAGACTAATTTTTTAAAATTGAATATTGGGACGTGACTCCAACCTGCTTTCGTAATTTTATTAGTAATCGCAATTTTCTTATTTTATTTAATAGTTCGTTAATCCATAAAAAAAAGTAAGTTCTGCGCACACACACACATATGCTCACTATAATAGTATTACAATGTACATATGTATGAAAATACTGATTACTATGAGATAAGATATCACTTACAAAATAAGCCAGACAGCAAATATAAATAATCGAGAATCACGTTACTCAAGACAAATTTTCAATTTTCTGTTACTTTACAATCACAAATTTAAAATTAAGAATAATTTTCACCACTAGAGGGGTTTCCTCCTAATAAATCAACTTAATAGAAAAACTGGCACAAGATAAATCTCTAATTGGAATAACAAACTGTGGCTGTGTAACACGTGAAAACGGATGTGATCACGGTTAAAAAAGTTCGATCACGATTGAAATTTCACCAGAACAACACACCGTAAATCTTCCATAAGATTGGAAATGGATCGGTCAGAAATAGACACGCGCGATTCAAATCGAAAATATGTGCACGTTTTCCTAGCACCGTCAACGTTGCAAGTTCCGTAGCTCACTGAGTGAAAAACAGCGCCTTTGAATCCGTCTTTTTCCCCGCTCTCTGTGCTCATACACACACATCCACACGCTTAAGTTGCTTACATATGCACAAACGTATATAGATGTATATACGCATAACTCCCACCGAAATCTCCACGTCATAGACTCTTCTGTCTATACACATGTATATGTATGTATTTAAACCACCTGCCCAACGACTTAAACACTGCATTTTGAAGTGAATCGTAGCTAATGAGAAATTACAATTAACACAAATATCAACTTCGATGTCAGAGATAGTATGTCGTAAATAAGGAACTTTTATTTTGGACAGTACATTACGAATTGATATTAGATATACGATGGATATTTTATATGTAAATTGTTTAAATAAATAATCCGCGAGTAAAATAGTTTTTTTGAATAGTTACAGTACGAAATCGGATATCAGAAAATTATGTGATCTACATTTTCCTTCTTCTATTTATTGAGATAACGTAGCTCTTTTAATGAAAGATAATGAGCTAGCGGTAATGATCTCCATTCAAATAAATTGAATAAAACTATTTTCATTTTAATTAAAAATTATTTCGTCTACTTTTCTCCCTTTTTTTTTTAACTAATACGGTTTTCAAATGAAATAAATTCGCGGTAATAATTTTGATTGAAACAGATTAAGTTTAGTTTTTACTGGAGATCAGTGATATCGTAAATTCGATAAATATAAAGTTCCAGTAAATGAAATGTAATATAAAGCATATTAATCGTTTACTGCAAAATTCACGGCAAACCAATTTTTAATAAATTAAATTCAACATAAAATAAATTAATGGTAATAATTTTATTTGTTGTAAAGTTCGGAAAAGAATATGTCTTTCTATTCAATTAAACTTGAAGTGAAATATATTAATTAAACTCTCGCACTTACTTCAAAGTTTACGTATGTACCTCTTTGCGTAAAATAACAAACCGTAAGAATCAGAAATAAATTTCTCAGCAAAGTGAAGAAATTTGCTACGATATTGTGATCGGTAAGAGAAACGAAACTGGTTTCAGCGCTAACGAGTCATGTGACATGCGATGATACAACATACGACCAAGAACGTTGAAACGCGAAAGAGAATTTCATTGAAAATTATCTAAAAAAGATAATTTATTTCAGGGTCATACTGTGTATAGAGAGAATATTCATTTAAATTAATGTATGTAATTGGCAAACGTGATCAGTGAACATACAACTATTTGTTTAACTTAATACGCAAAACGTATTAGCAGGTGTATTCCAAGAAAATAAATAAGTTTCTTTGTTCCGATTCAAAGATTAACGTTAATTTTAGGGATGCATATAGAATTTTTAGAAATCTACAGGATCTAAAACTGAAACAAAAACACAAAAATCCTCACAGTGAAGCTCACTAAAATAATCAGTGACGAAGCACGAGTTAGTGACTTCAATGTTTGAACAGATGCTGTTTACGACTTCATTACAAGAACGACCGTTGCCCAACCGATAGTTCCTTTTGTTTTATAGATACAAAACTTTTACATTCTCATTGGAACATAAAAATAAATAATAAATATTTAGCTTTAATATTTAAATCCAAATTCTCCTAAATAACATTTTTCATATAATAAGGAAGAATTACATAAAGTAAGTAATAAAACAACATGATTATGATTAGCATAATAGTAAAAAAAATACCATTTTTTAGCATTATAGTAAGGTGAATTGTGCAAAGAAAAGATGAATCGTCGACGTCAACGCATGTGTTCTCTGCTTTCAAAGATCATCCTTTTGTTCCCTAAGATACTATTGTGTTAGAACGAACCAGCAGTGGTTATTTGTTGCAAAAAGTCATGCTCTGTGGAGAGCAGAAACACTGAAATAAGATGCATGATACAATTTTGTGTTCTTTACTTATACGGTGTAGAACTCAAAGAATGACCCGAATATAACCAAAGAAGATTATCCAAACTTTTTACTTCTCTTATTCAAAGTTCAAGAAGCTTTTCATAATGGTGTATTTAATTAATAATTTAAAATTCATAACCCGAGGGAAGTTTAAAACAAATAAGATTGCATAGTAAAACAAAAATACTGTATGAAAGTTATGTTACTGTATGAAGAATCATTTTGTCTACCAATTGAAATACTAGATGTATGCAAATTGTATTTAATATTCCTTATTAAAAGAATGTAAAATATATGATGACTCTATTTGTTGACTCGAACGTTATATATTAATTTGTTCGCATTGATTATGTAATCATATTTACGTGTGTATACATATATACATATACATATGCATGTATCATAAAGAATTTCATCCACAAACGAATCGGCTCGAGCATTTAATAATTACTAATCGTTAATATCATAATGCTGAAGTAGACATCTATTTTAAATTCTAGATCGGTAATTATATACGTATAGTAATCATCATTGCAAGCTGAAGCCAATATACATATATTCTTATAACGTTTTAACTTTGCAAAAGATACAAAATGTAGCATAAAATTGAATTGCTCACCGCTTTTCGTTTATCTTCAGCACTAAGAGCACTGTGACTCCTATGCCTAATGAGATCCATAACTTTGCTAACAGGATTTCTGCTACTTTCTGAACCTGCTCGAGGACGTCCCATAGGTTCTTTACCTTCCTTATGATCCTTACTGTCTTTGTGATGATCCTTATCCGTACGTACGTCCGTTGACGAACTCCCATGTGAGCCTCTATGCAATGAATGCTGCAAAATATCCAATAGTATTCAATTAATGTAATACTGTAATCTTCTTCTTGACTTTTTCAATATAAATATATGTAAATTCATTATTTATTTAAAATCAATTGGCTGTTCTAATTAACTATGTACTCTTTATATTTTCTATATGAATTTGTTATTTTCTTTAATCGTTTCCCCTTCTTTCTTGTGAAAAGCTTTCATTATAATACACTTGAATGATGAAAGCTGCAGTACTTTCTAACCGTATAATCTACATGTAAATTACAGAATAAAATAATCTGTAATAAACATATAGTGGTGTGCAAAAGTTTCTAACCAGATAGACTTTTCACTTTATTTTTCAAAAAAGATATCTAGAAGAAGTTCAACTAATATTGAACAGAAGAAAACATCACACAGTATCATACATGAACAGTGTCATAGAAATATATAATATTGTAATTATAAAAAACGTATCTCATGTAAAAACTTTCGCATAGCACTTTAAATACATCCTCTAATAATAAGTATTATACATCTAATCAATAACAAAACCATGTGCATGGTTGATCAATGAAAATCATGTGCATTTCCCAATTCCAAAGGTGATACCAAACAGCTAATTGATGTTGGTCAAGGTATATTAGAACTATCATTGTACCTGCACGGCACTCTTCATATTCGCTATAATACTGGGCTTTCTTTTGCTAGCATCAGATTTACTTCTCGGTCTAAACGCATCGAATAGCGCTGGTTTTTTAGTAGGGCTAGCCGTGTCATCGACAGTGCCACCACCGCTTCTTCTGCGTTCCGCGCTATTACTACGGCTATTACTGCGGCTGGTGGAGCCAGATCGCGTGCCAGAAGCTTTTCTGCCACCTTTGCTTGAACTCGACGAACTCGAAGGTTCCGCCTGTTGCGGAAGAGGAGTCGACTTTCCAGAACCAGGAGCGCTTCCCGAGGTCGGCTTCCTGATTGTTCTCGAATGTGAGCCCCACGTTCCTATCATGATTGAAAAAACATATTTGACATGTAAATAACATCAGAGGCAAACCAGGTAAGTAACTTAACCAACATATATAATTACACGATAAAATACAATCTCACCTGCGCGTGGTCTATGACCTTGATCGTGAGAGGCATGACCCGCCGTGTCTGCATCTTCTGTTACGATTGTTGGCAATGGCTGCGATCCAAGTTCCTGTAAAAATCAGTATAACAGTCATTATATATGTACACACGTACATAGATATATTATAAACAATGTTCAATATTGCGATATCGAGAATTAAAATTGTAATTTCAATTACTTTTATGTTTTTATTAAATTCTCGATTATTAAAATTCGCTACTATTTTAGTTTCGATAATCGTACTTTACTACCTTAAAGTTCAGAGAATAAATACTATCAATTTTGACTACTTTAAAGTGTTCGACATACAATTTCAATCATTTTATACATTACCATCTCGATTATTGAAATATAATGATTTTGTTGAAATAAAATATAGTCATTTTAATTTCAATTATTAATGTGGGTTATTTTTAAGCTTCAGAAAACCGATATTGTTAATTTTAATTCTTTGAGAGAATGTTTAATATGTTGGAATTTCAATCACATACTTTTATTAAAATGTTTTACTATTTTCATTCCAGTTTCTGGATTTGACTTTTATTTCGATTTCGACTGTTGTTGTACTTTACTATTTTAGGTTGCAGAGAGCAAATATACGCCGTTGCACTTCACAGGGGAGAATTTATCGGTTAATAGAAAGACTAATTGGTCGAAAGATGAATGGAAATAAAGTTGCAATGAAGTTTTATTATCCACAGATATAAAACGACACAATAAGACGATTAGATACTGTTGTATAATCAAGAACTAGTTGATATAATGTTTTATATTTAGCTAGATTATCTCTGATGACTTTCTTGCAAAGTATCTTGCAAGAGGAAATTTTGACACGCTCGCATGTCTTTCTCGGAATAGATATGTTTCGTGATATCTTTGAAAATGTGAGCGTAAATTGCCTTATCATAAACAACAGTGAACACGTTCGATTTTTCATCCATGTTGTTAATCTCCGTTAATCGTTGCTAATTTTTTGTCGTTTTCAAGTTATATTTAACAATGAATACATGGTGAAATATTTATTTAATACATTGGGATGTTTACACTAAACTCTGCCTCAATTTGACTAATCTTACTATTTCTATTTACGTTTATGTTTATCGTGTTGAATAATGAAAAACGCACATAAATGAAACAGAATGAAAAGATAGGTGTCATTATTAACCAGTTAGGTATTTTTGACGAGTAATTCGACACGAAGAAATGACGATATTTTGTGTTATGACGAGCTCTGTCAGTGATAAAATTACAAAATAAAAGAGTCATTTAATTACAACTTAGTTCTATATTATAACAGTTACAAACACTCTGTGTTTGACGAGTATACTCGTTATCGCTTTTTTTTTGCGACACATTTTAGGCACAAACTTTTCAAAGAGGTTGCAACAATTAACCGGTTAATTAATTACTTCCATAGAAATTTAATATGATAAAGACAGAATATTTTCAAGATTTTTTTGAAGTAATAAAATTTATTCTTAATGAATATCTCGTATATTGCTTGTCTTTATTACCAATGCAATAAGTATAAATATATGTAAGTAAAAGTATTTATGTACTTACAACGTAATTCGACAATTCGAAACATAGTTAAGCGTATTACTTAGTACTTACTAGATAAATTTTGACAGAAATAAAGCTTTATATGAAATGAAATGTTTTCTAGCCCTCCGTCGTCGAATGTTTTGGTTATATTATATTTTATGATTTAAACTAATACATTTCTTTTGATCTTTTTCATTAGATAAAAGACAAATTCATGTCAATGACTATTGCTAAACATACACATTTTGTTTCAACCAAATTAATCAAAAAATATCTATAATCTACATATAGGTACCATAAAAAGTCAAATTTTTTCGAGTATTAAATAATTTGTGTTCTATTGGGGTTTATTTTTCGTGTATAATTATCCTCTTGGTAATTGTACTACCAGAACTCTGTGTGTGTATGTGTGTGTGTGCGTGTATTAGCAAATTATAAAGAACAATACAACAGTATTGAACATGTGCCGAAAGAACAGCACAGTTGTGAATCTATTAAAAGAGAAAAACAAAATCTAAGTTGTATCCAAATTTAGGATAGCCAGCCGTTCCTCTAATTTTCCGACTATTTTACTACGATGGAAAGGGTAAGTACATGGAAACAATCTCAAGGTTTAATATCGCAATAAACTGAAAATCTTAGATTGTTTTTAATTCAAAGACTCGATTTGTATATATTTCTTCACTTTCTTTTATCGAATAATACATTGCCAAATGTACATATCTGCCAGTATGTATATTCAAATCAAAAAGTGAACTCTGAGATTTTAACGTTACAATCAAATTTTAATAATTTAAATAATAACAGCAAAGCAACGGAAGATTTGTTTAATCCCATGAGGTATATGTATTTTTTTATAATTTAATTGTTAAAAAACGGATTTTTATCAATTTCAATGTGGAAAGAAGTATTCACGATTCGTTTAAAGTAACAAAAATCGAAGACGACGATCTTTATTGGTAAAATTGAAAATGTATTATTGACAATTTATTATCCTTTATGCAAATAACCTTTTCAAAGTAAATGTAACATTTCTGCATGTTAGACAGTGAGATAGATCATCGAGATAACACATTGTGTTTCGTAATTCGTACAGTGTATTACGAATTCCTGGAATATATCCAATTATATCGACGGATCAGTTAAAGTACTTTCACTGAGTGGTAATCAAGGTCCATTGTAAATGATCTGCTACTCGTCTTACGCCTTACACCTGTTCATGGAAACATTTGTGACAAAAAGTAACTTCTTTATCTTTGCCGGTTCTATATATTATAAAAATGTCTTATATAATCTATTTATTAGTAAAAATTGGAATTCAACAATTTTTTATAATACATTAAGATTATTAAGAAATTAGTATTAAATATTAAATTTATACTTGAACTAATTTCGATTTAATTTCCTATCTGCATCTTGTTAAAAATTGCTTTAGACCATAATTCAAAATATTTATATATATTAACTTTAATAATTATTTTCATTTATTAGAAATTATTCTTCTGTAAGATACATTACACAGTATGCTATCAATTATCGATTGACAATAACATAAGAAATACATTATATTCTTTAATCTTAATCACATGTACATGTATCTTATATTTTTATTTATTAACATATCGATATACATGTATCGTTCGAACAGATAACATTCATTTACTGTTTATTGCAAAAATTAATCAAAAGAAAATCTGCAGTTTCATACTTTTATATTGTACATTTATTGATTTTTTAAAAAAGGACACATATATAATTAACCCTTAAAAACTATCATCAAAGGAAATCATATTTATTCCGTCTTCTTTTTTTTCTTATTATATAATTTGTACTTCACAATTTGTCCAGCTGGACATTCGATAAATTTTTCTAGCTATTATTCTGTCATGAGTGAATTTTCACAGCGATATATTTTTAGTATCAATAAACTCCAATAAACGCACTTAAATGCCTCATACGTATTCAATATGAAGTGAAAAGTGGAGAACATACTTTACAACTTAATGTTTAAGTATTATGCAAATAACGTTATAAAAATAGTAATGTTAAAACAAAATTCACAATTTGTACAATTTCATTCATGATGGTCTTCAAGGATTCATTCTATATCATTATTATTCAAATTAATTCTGTTTCGTACCCTTTTCGCACAGTCTGGCACCAGATCACTAAGCAAGCTCTCAGTAGCTTCTTGAAGTGTTCGTAAAACAAAAATTTTGGGGATCATACATATTATGATGCGCGGGCGCGCGCGTATGTGTATGCATGTGTGTGAAATATAACCTTATATAATATAATACGAGTTTAATCAAATATATTATTTTCCTGCACCATAGATACGTTTCTCGCACATTTTTCATCGAATCATGACATCTATTACAGTGAACAGAATTTTTATATACATATGCATATATAATATATCTGTTCTTTCTAACGATTCACAGTGAATGGAATGATACTGTAATGATTCGTAGTGAAGCACAGACATAAAGAAACCATAGAAATTCAATCGATCGTTGCCATCGGCCGATTGTATTCATGCTCGTGGACATAAATTTTAATCCTATCTTTGTACGATCCGCGTTAAAGGATTTTATTTCTGTTTCAATTCTTTCATTTTTGTATCACATAGCATTTAAGTAATTTTCGTTTCTTCGTATAAATATAAGCGTGCAAACTATAATTTCATATTAATTATGTATATTATATAATCAAATGTCTTATTAAATATTGTTTTCTATATATTTAAAATAATAATAAGTATCTATAATATCGATCCACAACTATATGAATCTAGGATGGAATGTGGAATTGATCAAGAAAGATGACAATATAACGTTGATACGAATCTTGGTACTCTAATTTCTCAGGACTATGTAAAAAGTATTATTAAATTTTACTTTAAAAAAGGAAAAATATATAAATAGTTGTAATATTATATGTCCTTAACAAAAGTACGTATCTATGGATACGTGGAATGCTATTTAATAGCACTTGCTTTTGAAAAAAAAGTAAAAATTCTATATGGATAGCGTAAGATTGCCTGTGAGAACTGATAACAGGAAACTCTACTACATGTAATCACATTTTCCACTGTTTGACAAACAATTCACGTGACTATTATCTCGTGATGATAGACAAGAAATCTAGTGTAACAATCTCGATAAATAAGTCATAATTACGAAAATCTAATGATCGTAGAAAACATTTAGACCAGATAAAAAAAGGATGATAGAACATTTAGCAAAAGTACCACCAAAATGACGTACAAAACAGTTTAGAAATAAAATCGATCTAAATGCAGAATTCTATTGGAACGAAACAAAAGAAACTTAAAAGATGTGAGAACAATAAGAATAAAACATATTTCGCGTATGAAATATCACGTAGTTTCTCGTGCAATTTGTATGTATATCCATTCGCATTTCACTAGTTTCGCTGACCGAACAAAAATATTATATATCCCTAAAATCGCGAATCGTTCTGTTCAATGTTCCGAGCTCGACTGGCTTTTTGAATTAACG